AAGATGGATTTCATGCTGGAACTCCTGCCTTATGGGTTATCAAGGGTGCTGATCACCATTATATGATCCATTTCCGGAGCTGGCGCCAAATGGCGCCAATTTGGCGCCAGCGCCAAAAATGGATATCATATTTGAGATCAGGACCCTCGAAAACCCCCATGGGAAAAGTTTCAGCGGAAAAAAATTTCAACTTTTTCGGTGAAATTTTGAAGTCAGGTTATTTTTTCTTCAATAAAATTCTAGTGGATAGAGATTTCCTCTGCCCAGGGGTGGCCTAGATAGATGAGGGTATGAAGATTCTTCACAGCAAAGAAAATCTCCCAAAGACCTCCTTTTGTTTTCAAAAATTCCATTTAAAGCCCGTCAGCCACCGGTGGCTGACATGGTCCGAAGTGGACATCTTCGCGTCAGCCACCGGTGGCTGACATTGTCGCGAATGGGTTAAAAAAAAAGGCGCCATGAAGTGATTTGTGGCGTCCTCTCTCGCCGCGCGTCACGCTGGGCGACGAATTTGCGCAGCAATTGATCGGTGTAGACTTGCCGCGCAGTTTAGTCAGGTTAAGATGGGCGCGGTAGGGGCAAACGTTACGCACTCGCCATACAACATTGCTACATTTCTATGAGTTTTCACGGTGCTTTCTCTCAGATGTTGACCGAGCATGTTAACGTACTAATATGCTACAGTTGATGTGTCTGAATTTGTATGTACATTTGTATGTTAGTAATATTTCTGACAAATTAGTAATTAAATTTTAACAGTAATAATATTAACTGGTTCGTTTCTGTTGAGCGTCGTCCGAGGTGGTCAGTCTTTCCCTGCTTCCTTGGATGTTCTATTATTTTTGTACATTCTCTTCTTCGTTCTCATATGTGCAAGATATTTCAAAGTGATGACATATGTATATTGAATGTTTGGCATTATCCCAATATTGCTGCCCCAAAACATCGAAAGAAATTGTTTTACTTATAAGGATATTCTAGGCTCATATTACGAGTATGAATGTTCATTTTTGACGCTGGAGCTATCTGGCACCCAGTTGGCAACACCTTGTCATGCCGGCTGTTTCATTAATTTCACTATAAACTTGCATATAGGGGTTATTTGGTGTCCTGGTTACGAGTATGACATTCTTTCAAAATTAGCGCTGTCTAAAGCATTTTCCTGCTCTCCTGGACTTTCTCACTTATAGAGCCTAAGGCTGAGCTTATTGGAAAGTGAGGACTTCGAGGTGGATAAATCAAGCATTGTGTGGCAAAAGATGAAGTGTATGAGATTACAGGATGAGTGGCTCACTCACCTCTGAGCCCTCCTCTCCCAAGGCTTAGTCCTGATCGTGATCTAATCAGTGAGAGGGCGCAGACGAGCAGAAAATGGGCGCCAAATGGCGCTAGCGTCAAAAATCATATCATGTTCGTAAGCAGGGCATCAAATTTCTTCTGTTGTTAGGCAAAATTTCTACAAAAAAAAATAAAATTTTGAGTTTTGGGGCAGTAATAGTGACATATGTACTACTGAATGTTGTTCAAATTTTGACTTAACTGAACTTGACTTGAGTAAATGGTTGGTGTTTAAAAAATAAAGTTTTGGCTTATCGTTGGGATTTTTTGAAAGGAAGTTCGAGTCTTCAAGATTCGCTTACTTACATTATTTATTTTTCGCAGAAACTCTTATTTTTAGCAAGTATGATATCTGAAAGGGAGAATTGCGAATTTCCCAGGGAATTTTCAATTTTCCACTACTGAGCGAATGAAATTTCAATCTGCGAGGTAAGCTCTGTACGTTTCTGTATGTAGAAATCTCAGCGATGCTGAACCAACTCATTTTTGCAAACCTTAAATTTTAAGGAGTTGCATCCGTTAGATGTATCGAAACAGGGTCAACCCTACGTTGTTACTAGTAACAATGGGGGGGGGGTCGTACTTGGTTGAACTTGTAGGAGGGGAGGGTCGTACTCGTGTTTGAGTCTGTAGGAGGCGGGGTCGTACCCGTGGTTGAGTTTGTAGGAGGCGGGGTCGTACCCGTGGTTGAGTTTGT